AAAAATTCCGACTAGTTGTAAAAATGAGCTACACAAGTTTTTGTATTCCCATAAGATATATGAATTTGACCCTACATACAGAGCGGAATTCAAAGTTTCCATATCACAACAATGAAAGGTTACAACTCATTGATTTTGACTTTATGCATTACTAAAATATGTTTTGGCCGGCACGTCATGGTGTCGGACATACAGGTTGTTAAAATCATGCTCTTTATTTTTAAGTTAAAATTTAGCTAAAAACATACAAAAGCTATTCAATGAACTCTTTATACAAATTTAACTCTAATCATACTCTCTAATTTAGAGATTCATAAATGTTATAAAAAAAATATTATAAAAAATAATTAACATTAATTAAAAATTTAAAATACTCATAAAACAAAGCGGCATTAAATTATAAGGAATCACTATGAGTCTTTTCTCTCTCTTCAGATTTAGGAGCTCTTAGAGGTCTCCCTATTTTAAGAGGTGGATAGAGAACATGGTTGAAGTTGTGTTTTTTCAAATCCTCCCCAAAATTTAAGAAGTTGGTTTAAAGAACCCATTTTAAACAGTGAATTTGAATTAAGGGTAAAGTACTCAAATGGTTCTCAAACTTATACCCAATTTACATTTTGGTCCCTCAATTAAATTATTCGTTCAAATTGTCCATCAACTTTATATTAATCGCTCCATTGATCCTACTGTTACATTATGTTAATGTTGCCGTCAAATGTAAGGGTAAAACCGTCCATAACCGTCTTATGTTCTCCAAATATGTGATAAAGTAGTGATACAGTGGTGATAAAAGGGCGATACATAGGTCAAAAGTCTTTTTTACCCCCACAAATGTAACATGTGCTGCTCACATGACTAAATTTAACAGAAAATGTAACGGTAGGACCAAAGCGCTAATTAATAAAGAATTGGTGAACCATTTGAACGAATAATTTAGTTTAAGAATCAAAATATAAATTGGGTATAAATTTAAGGACCATTTGAATAATTTACCCTTGAATTATTAATCAGGTTGATTTTTGTTTGCAATTGACAATAGAAATACATCTGGACCCTTTATGACAAGACTACCATACCATGCATTGCAAACATGTACGTGGGATCCGTATATATTTACACATCTTACAAAGAATTGTGTGGTGCAGACCAAATTGTGGGCACGTAGTACATATAAGAAGTTGCAATCTTTTGTGGTCTGGTTTCCCAAACTTGCCACAATCCCATTGGTCTAGGGTACCTTCCAAAATACCAAATCTTGACCCAGAATGCCAGATATAATTGAGAAAATCAGTCTACCCAACACTGCATGTGAGCAGCACCGCCCAAGAAGCATAGGTGAAAATCCAACACACAGTCGTGCCGTTTTTTCGGATGCAACGTTTAAAAATTTCATGGCCATTGTTTTTAGGATAAAATTAGATAGGAAGAAGAAGACGAATTTAATTTTACTATTTTTCCCATATGGAGATATTGATATTTTTAGCTAGCTCTCTACATGGAAAACATGTTCTTAATTTACAAAAAAGCAGCTGGTGGTGCTCAGTGCTTGGAATAGGACCGATCTGCTTCGAATCTTTAGGTGCCATTTGATGTGTAATCTTTCGGCACCTTCCTGTATAATGTTTGATAGATCCAGCCACCTAGGTTATAATGAATGGCGAAAAATGTTCAGTCCAGCAATCGACAATACACATAGTCCGATCACTTTCACAAAAGTCTAAGCTTCTATATATTTGGGTCCACTGGACTCTACAATAATCCTGCACTTTTGACTATGTTGCCGTATACCACAGTCGCACTCAAGAATCTCTCTCCACAGGCTTCCCAAGTAAATCAACCCCCTAATTAGCCGATGCCTAAATAGAAGCTTGATTGCATGACTTAATTATACACCATTTTATCCTTTGGTTAAGTGGCTACAATGCTGATTGACAAATAGTAAAGAAACATGATTTAAAGAGAAATTGATATCAGTCAACCTTGCTCATCTAGCGATTCTGCCCTTTCCAATTTTTTCAGTTATTCGTAATTTCATTTTGATTGTGGGTTGTTGGGGTACGCAGTTTGTCAAGGAAAAGAAGACACATCACATTGGATCAACAGGCTATATGTTCAAGCCCATCTAACTCAGATCCTTTTTTGGGCCCACGATTATCTTTTTGGGTATGTATCATGGTTCTTTTTAGTTCTTAAGATAATCTTTTGGGTTCGATAAAAAGAAAAAAGAAAGATAACACATATATCATATCATTAAAAGCACTCTGCTAAACGGAAAGACTATAATGAGGGTTTAAAGTGAGGAGGTTATTTGAGGAGGTCAAATCTCACCATCAACAAATGTAAAGAAATCATGGGACTTAAATATTTTAAATATTTTGACGGTCGGATCGGTCTCCTCAAATAACCTCTTCACTTTAACTCCTCATTGTAGAAGCTCCCCTCTGCTAAATACATATAACCCTATGTGCATATCTAACCCAAAATATTGTGTAGGTGTAACTATGTATAAGAATTTAAACAATCCACTTCAGTTGAGAAATTTCTCAAATAATACTATTTGACAGACATATTATGGGGATGATACTTAAATGAAGTTTGAAAAAAATGGAAAATTTGAAACGCGAATTTACTTCTAAAATATATTCGTAAACTCGTGTTATTTGAGGAATCTCCCTACCGAAGTCCATTGAATTTGAACACATACATGTTTATCAGTCATTAATAAAATGAATTGAATAAAATTAAACTTGTAACTTAATTGATAGACTAACAACTATATATTAAAATGTCTGGTAAGCAAATATTTTTGTATATATATATATATCAGTTGGTTTGCCATTTGCCATTGAACGCATCAATTACTTGCAAAATATTGTTCTTGACCTTTTCGTCTAGCTGCTGCAGGGTTGAGATTCTTGAGAATATATACTTTGTGCCCGACTTAATCCAGCCAACTGGTTAACCTGTTTAATTGACTGAGTCTGAGGATTCATTGACTCATTGACCATGTCATTTGCCTGGAAATTCAGGGGTGGTTAACCATAATTTCAATCATTTTTTATTTCCTGAGCAGATGGAGATATTTGCGTTAACTTATCAGAACTGACAAAGGACATTCCATCCAACAACTATTTTAATTAACCATTTAACAAGTCAATGACAAAAGTATTATCTGATAAGCAAGTTGCCTTCACACCAACGCATATATAGATTATTGTGGTCTGGCTTTGAGCTTAATTGTTGCATGATTATAAGTAATTAAATTAAAGTTTTAGTTTCAACCCGTAACCTTGCCGTCTTATCCGACCGGTGAATCTCTCAGAGCCATCTTAAATAGTACTGATCAATTGCATCCCCATGCAAGTTATGAATAAACTATCAATCTTTTTATAATAAAAGATTAATGTGTATGTGCATAAACTATCAGTCTTTTACTCAAACAGATGAAGCAGGCGGTAAAGAGAAACATATCCTGCTACGTACAAAAATATGAGAACAACAAGTGGCAATAATTTAAATGAAGAGCTAGCTTAGTCACATGGTGGAGCACAAAAGAAGACAACATCAGAGCTATGACTTAGCTAGGCATTGCCAAACTCTGGCATATCGTGACAGCTTTTCATGTCATATCAGCTCACACCTGTTGGCCATGCAATGGGGTACTCAATTCAATAATGCATTCATTAATAATATTTGGTTCTAAGATTTCATTTTATTTTGGTCCTTCCTTTTTGTCTACAGAATTCTTGTTAATGGTCAAATAAAGCCATGAAAATGAAATATATTTTTGTACTATGTGTGTGTATATATGTATATATTGTAAATTCCCATTTCAGACACAGACAAAGCATGAAATGCTGTTGCTAGCTGCACCCTAATCATCAAAGAATATGAGAAATTATTGAAGATCTCATTGGATCCCCATGCCATCCTTCTATGTAAGCACTAGACACCAATCTAATTTTCAAGTTTTCAACATCATGTTACCCATCTTTTGCATGCTCCCTCTGTCAGCTATTGTCGGTTATAGGTTTTTGGAATGACTTATGTAAGAGCAAGAACAACTATTGCTTTTAGGCTTCCAAAGAAAAACTTGCCTGTAATTGGCATGTGATTTTCTCTCATAATAAGTGATCACGTGTTAAACACAATATATCTCTTCTTCTCATAATAACTAATCACATGTTAAGCACGACATGATTCACCAATTTACCAATTTTATCTCATAATAAGTGATCACGTTTTCTCTCTCATAACGAGATGATATATAATAGTGTTCAAGAAGAAGAGTGTATAGATTCATGCGAGTTTCTCTCCTTGATTGGGTGGGCTGCTAAATTTTTCTTCTGCTTTTGATTCCCAAACCAGTCAGATCGCAGCACCCAAGATGCTTAATGCATTGATAATTTTATAAGGCGATCTTTTCACTTCATGCGCATTTAAGCCCAATTAAAAACATTGACATAAAGTAACTCCAAACTCTTCAATAGTCTATCGTGCGAGTAAAGTCTTCACTTGTAACTGATGATGCCAAGTGCCAAACTTGCTTGCACCCCCCAAATTCTGACCCTTTCTGCTGGAAATTTATGTTGGTTTCTGACTTATCTTGACCAGGATTTTATATGCTTTATTTTCTTGCCTCCACCACTGAATAATTCTACACAAAAAAATATCCCACTGTTCATGCTTGAAATGAGATGCATACAGTTTTGTGCCCAATGCTATTGCAAACACCGATCTGTTTGGTTGCAAAGAAATCACATGCAAGAAAACGGAGAAAATTCAGAAATCAATCTACTCCAACCTCAGACTATGATTTTGAGACTTAATTAAGTCATCTCTTTTCTTTCCCATACAATATAATTCCCACAATAACAAATCCTACAAAAGTCTGCAACCACCAAACTATATATAAATCTACATTTCCAGGAAATAAATTGTTCATGTCCTTTACAGAGAGAGAGAGAGAGAGAGAGAGAGAGAGAGAGAGAGAGAGAGAATAAAATAAAATATTTTTCATAACGTACAAAACAAAACAACAAAAGGGTGACATTTTTTTTTTCTCTTTTAATTTTCAAGAGATTCAAAGTTGATGAGATTTGACAAAGAGAACAAGTACTTCTTCTACATGAAAAGGGTTCGAGGCCGATCTGATCCAGCAACAGAAGGGTAGCTGGAAAGAGAGACTCCCATTGGGATGGCGAAAGAAGTCTCCATGAAAATCCTCTGGTGGAAGGTCTCCAAGCTCGCGCCAGCTGTCATTAAGTCCTTCATCATGTTCTTGTAAGACTCCTTGAGCTTCTTCAACATGCACAAGTACTGAAGCTTCAGCCACCTCATCCTGATCCTCTTGAGCATTTTAACAAACACAAGTCCCCGCTTCGGCTTCGGGCCGCCTAGGCGGGCAACCGGCAGTTTCCGGCCTCGGCGCAGAGGAAAACCGCGCCTCACCAGCCGCTGATTTTGGCTGTGGAGATCATGATCTTGAGCCATGTGTTTGTGTTTGGGGTGTGCAAAAGGTGTGAGAGAGAGAGAGGAACAGAGAGGAGGATATAGTGATAAAACTTCATATAAGTTACAAAAAGAGAGAAAGTTGACCAAATGAGAACAAAAGCATCACGCTTTGAGTGGGGTATGTGGGGTATATGAGGCATGTGGGGCCCTCCAATTGATTAATTAAGGTTTGAGATTTGGAAATCATAACTAGTGTGGATGTGGAGCAACCTTAATAAGATTAATTTAAAGGGGATAATCAGATTCATATCATAACTTCCATAATTATGAGGATTGATACTGACCATTAGATTGGATTAATGAATGACTAGAACAACATGCATAATAGACTATGTTTTATGAGGTCAGATGTTTAGGCCTGTCCTGTAACGTTTTCGGAGAATGTTTTCTTATAATATTTTTAGAGAATGAAAACAAGAAAATGAATTTGCATTTTCAGGAAATAAAACTGCGTTTGGTAGATTAATTAGAAAACATCTTCTGAAAACAAAAACATTAAAAACGTGTATGATAGTACAATTTGAAATAATAATATGTGAGTTATTTTTATGAAAACGTTTCCCATGAGAATGAAAACAACTTTTTTCTGTTTTCTACAAGTACACATAAACTTGTTTTCATTTTATGAAAACATTCTCAGGGGTTTTCTGTTTTTGGGTCACCGAACTTGTTTTTGCCTAATTTTTGTTCTTTGAAAATGAAAACAACTCCTTAAAACGTTACCGAACAGGCCCTTAAGGTTTATGGTATTCTCGCTCTTCTTTTGCTATTCTTATCCCTTATGATTGTTTTTCAGAAAATGATGAAATTCTACGTGCAGTTAGTGAAACTTACCTGCAACAGCAAGGGGATCTGTACTCGTTTCGCTCCATTTCTCTACACGAGTGTCGAGTCACGTGAAAAGAAAGATAGAAATATATAAATATCATCGTATTACATGCAAGTTCATATAATTGAAATCAAATATATGTATATATTTCACAAACATGCAATGTTCTACATTTCCAAACAAGAGAAAAATAGAACGTGGAAAATTGGAAATATATAAATAGTAGTATGGATAGAGAAATTTTATTTAAATAGTAGTGTGGGTAGGGTTGAAGATCAATTGAACAAGTGTTTTTATTTTATAACTTTTGGGTTCGTAATTTGACCAAAGCTCTTATATGCCAAAAGCGTACACACATATATACCTACTCAGGTAGGTGGTGAAGTTGAGTTCATACATATATGATTGGTAAATTCGAATATCATCCACAAGCATAGCTTCCATATAAATAAAAATATTTTTGGATTTGGACTTTGTCTCTCGTTGGTTTGGTGAACTTTGAGTTGTTCTTTTGTACTTTATTATATGTCATCTTGCGCCTCATACTTACTCAAGAGTGTTTTCACAATTTTATATTATAAAGTAGAAATAAAAATAAAATTTGACATTGAAGAAGAATAACAAACAAATTTTTTTATTAAAAAAATAATAATTAAGCAACTTCCTTGTATAATAATGTGTATTACATCCATGCACTAATTTTAAAAGCAACCTCCTAATAATACAATTAATCTTACGTAGGTGATGACTGTGCTATGCAGCATCATTATCAAATTCATGCTCTATTTTATGCGGAAAATACTTCTCTTCTTATTACGTAAGTAGGAGCAGGAGTGGCCTTGGTCCCCCAATTTTTTTATCTCCCTCCTCTACTATATTATATATTATATACACTTCGTAATAATATATTAGACATGATTATTTACACTTAATGATCGACAACTTGTAATTTAAGTTAATAGTCTCTCTAAAATAGATTAAACATGATTAAGTTTGAAATATTTAATTCTAACATGTAAGTTTTAAATCATATGTATTTGATATAGTTTATTTCCTACATTCATGTGAATAACACTGTGACATTTGTGCAGAAAGTTTTATTTTTGTGTTTATATATATGTCAAATTGTGATTTGCAAGAAGGAGTATCTCTTTGCAGAGAAAGAAACAAGCAGTATCCATTTTATATGGCAGCTCCCAATTCAAAATAAAAGGGGAAGATTCTCTTATTATTATATATGCCTCTTCATCTGCAGTTTTTTCTTTTTATTGTACTAAACCATGTGGCATATAATAATTTAGATTTATCAAATGGCCCTAGGATTTCCTACATTATTCTCATCAAACTAACTAAATCTTTATTTTTAAAAAAACAAAATTACAAACTAAGTCAAGTTTATTTTTTATTTTTGTTGGGTTTTGGGCATAGACTTGAGCTCTAAATCTATCTTAGCCCATGTTATTCTCTCAAAAAGGTTTGGGTTCTTTAGGCTGCCACTTTTGGAGCCCAACTTGGTTTTCCTTGATCATTTTGTTCATGTGGGTTTTATATAAACAAAAAAAATTGCCAAAAAAAAAAAGATTGAAAAAATTTAATTCGACGCCTGAGAGATTCGAACTCTCGCGGGGAAACCCCATGTACTTAGCAGGCACACGCCTTAACCACTCGGCCAAAGCGTCGTTGTTGTTAACGTCTCTGAAAACGTTAGATTTAACTTATTCATACGGCACGTGCACATGGAACACAACAATGATTCTTATAGCACTGTCCAGATCTACACGCGACGATCCTCGTTTTGATGCCTTGAGCTGCACATTATCTATTCCATTGAGTGTTTCATTTGTTACATTAATTGATCTCTCGATCATTTTTTTGAAGACTAACAACTAGACGTTAGAGTATTAGAAAATTGAAAAACGTGACGCATGCGTACTGCAAATGCCTGTTAAGTCTTCCCTTCCACCAATTCAGCTTTGAAGTTTCTTAACCAATGGGTTATCAGTTGGACTGGCTCGGCTTTTGGTATTGTGCTCCTAAGTGATCCTGTATTCAATCCCTCATGATACCCGTGTGTGTGAGTTTCCCCCCTCCCCATTAACTTTAGCCCAAAAATAAAAGTTTCTTATACTGCACACAATAAATTACTGCATTTGCAGATCAAATTGGGGATATTTTTGCATATCTAAATGCAAGAGCTTTATTGAGTAACCAAAAGACGCATCAATGTGGAACTGAACAGGGTCCTCCCTAGCCAAAGCATACATATTGTTATATCTCACTTTCATGGCAAATAATCATAAAAGAGAAGCATAATGTGATTCAATTTATTGCTTAGATAAGTTCTCAAGCTTCGATTTTGCAACAACAATGTAACGTATTCACATAATCAGGGCCTACCCATAACAATTCAAAAGCCCTTCAACTTTACACAAGAGGCTAATTAATAAGTTCAAACAAAGCAAGCGACTATGCTCTCATTGATCTTTGCCCGGAAGAACACCACCCATTTCTATGGCGGCTGTTCAAACTGCTAAAACTCACATGGAAGCTAAGGATCTAGCACTGCTCCACCTCACAGCAACTGGACTTCTCACCAGATGCCTGCCATCCGTCCACTCAATCGAACCATATCTCTCCCCGCTATCGTACCCAACACCTCTTTTGAATGTAACCTCATAACTCTGAGTCTGGTTTTCTGCACTGAACACCAGCTTTCTTGGCTCAACACTGATCTCCACACCAGCTGGAGCATTCACTGTCACCTCATAAACTGCATCCGCGTCTGCCCCGACATTCGTGGCGATTCTCTTATACTTTACCAGGCCTTGATCCGAACTCAAAACCACTGAAAACGAAGGGTAATTCAGATCACCAGGGCTAGCCAAACTGTTTCTTGTGCATATATCGGAACCAGTAGGCTTCCCTACAAACACAGCTATTTGCCTTGGACTATACCCAATTGAGCACAAAAACGCCACATAGTCGTTGACATTGAGATCATAAACCAACCCAGGATTAAGAGCTCTGTTGGGATCAACATGCCCTGCTCCATGAACAAAAGGAGTTGACTCTTCCCCAGTTCCAAGGTCATTAATTTTCTTCCCGGCATTGTCCAAAGTGTAAGCTGTTGTAATCAGAGCAGATTTTATAGCAGCAATCGACCAATTCGGATAAGCCTTTCGAAGCAGAGCAGCAATTCCACTCACATGTGGGCAAGACATGGATGTGCCTGAAATGATATTGAACTCAACTCTTCTAGGATCAATGTCCAAATCAGTGGGGGCAGTAGCCCCAGTCCAACCAGCCAAAATGTTCACCCCAGGAGCAATCACATCTGGCTTGAGAATCTCTGGTGTGAGAGAGTTTGGTCCTCGGCTCGAAAAAGCTGCGACCCTTGGAGAAGATGGCGAAGACCCAATTACAGTTCCGCGAAACACAATGGTGGCTGTTGGGTATTGGCTCAATCTGATGTACTCTCTTATCTGATTAGCAGCGATCTCACCCACCTCTGTTGCAGGTATGAGGTGACCGTCAGCAAGAAGCTCTTCTCCGCTCTCCTCTGTATTGGCCAATATCATCCCAAGCCCACCTGCAAGCTTCACCGCGCCTCCCTTTGCCACTCTCGCATTGCCTCCGCGATCACACACCACAATCTTCCCTTGAACTTTCGATGGCTGAAGAGCCCCTTCATAACAGTACCGACTTCCACAGTCTCCGCCATGCACTAACGGAAGCTTGTAGTCCACAAGAGGCTCGCCGGAATACAACGAAACCCCGCTAATAACCCGATTGTCGCCAAGAACAACGTCCGCCGGGAACTCTCTGTCAATGGTGGATGCACCCACTGTTAAAATCCACGGAGCTATGTTGGTGGCGGTAAATGGGTTAGGCCCAGAATTCCCAGCCGAGGCTGAAACAAGAACACCATGCTGGGCAGCCCCAAAAGCTCCGATGGCTATGGAGTCTCGATCGTACGGCGGAGCGCGACCGCCGGCTCCGACAGAGAGCGAGATGATATCAACACCGTCAGCAATGGCTTGATCCATTGCGGCCAAGATGTCAGAATCGAAACACCCAGAAGACCAGCAGATTTTATAGACGGCGATTCTGGCCTTGGTGGCCATTCCTCTGGCTTCGCCTTGAGCGTACGAAAAGAAGCTCGCGTTAGCAACGACGGCGCCCGCGGCGGTGGAGGCCGTGTGGGTCCCGTGGCCTTCGGTGTCTCTCGGGGACTTCGCCTCTGCCGT